CTCTCATCTCTCCTCACAATCTCTCTGTGAGTGAGTGTGAATTCGTCCGCTAAAAGGGACGCAGCTGATAAAGTGCTGACTTTTTGTTCGTTTAAGTAGGTTACCATTCTCTCAGGCAGCTTACGTTTAAAATCCTCCAAAAGGATAAGCTCTCGGAGGTCACTCAAAGTTTTAATTTTTGTGGACGAACACCATTTATCAAACAGCATGCTTATTTCACGTGCAAATTCCACATGTGTTTGTCCAGCACTTTTCTTAGCTTGTCTGAATTTTTGACGATAAGCTTCAGGGATTAACTCATACGCTTGCAGTATAACAGTTTTCACTCGGTCATAGTCCAGACTATCTGTGACAGGGAGCGCAGACAGAACTTCTAAAGCTCTGCCGCTCAGCTTGCACTGGAGCAGCAGAGACCACACCCCGCGCGGCCACTGCAACGTCTCCGCAATTCTTTCAAAAGCTACAAAATAGCTGTCAACCTCGGTCTCTCTAAATGTAGGCATTAAGGAAATGCACTTACTAATGTCAAAGGCCGGGGTTGTGGCGGGTTGCGGAGCTTTGGTGGGCGTGATATGAAGTCCAGGGTTGGAAAGCTGGGCTTCCAGTTCCAATTTCCTTATTCTCACAGCTGTGTCAGCTTCAATCTCCATCCTCCGAACCTCCAGTTCCACCTGGAGTCTTTTAGCCTGGGCTCTCTCCTCTCTTTCCATGTCCAGACGTGCCAGCCGCACCTGTAGTCGTGCGTCTTGAGATCCTTCCGTCGGCGAACCTGGGGAGGTCGGAACAGACTTTCGTACGGTTAGAGGAGTTTTTCCTGTCTCCATCGTCTCACCCTCATGATCCTCCGCAGCAGCAGGGACTTCAGGATCGTCACATTCATCAGGATCTGCAGGAGATCCTTCTGGTTCCGTCTTTGCACCAGACTCATTCTCAGTCTTTAAAATCCCCATGTCCTCCAAATGCTCCTCAACGAGCAATTTCAAGTCTTTTTTCAGCACAGGGTTTGGGATGTCAAGAGCAAGGTTGACAGCTATCTGCAGAAGGTCAGCCTTGCGGCAACGCTCCAGCACCTCACGGGATGGAGCCTCCATAAATGTCTCCACACAAAACTGAGCCATGTTTAAGCACAAAACAAAATGACACAACACAAAACAGCGTGGGTTTTGTGTCTTCGCAAAACCAACAAAGAGCAAATGTTAAAACTAGTCCAAATGTTTGGCACGGGCTTAACTGATCTAAAACAGGCTATAAACGTGTAATAAAACAGCTATAAATCAGTGTAAATCCCGGACGAGCCCCCATTTATGTTACACCCCTCTATGGGCTCAGCTAGGAAGGTGAGGGGAATAAACATAAGATGGACCAGTCTAACAAAAGTGACCCTCGTTGGGGAGAAAAAGGCACCTCTTGTCCAAGCAAGACCAAACTCAAAGTTTCCTTTCAAGGATTTTATTACAAAAAGAAAGTACCAAAAGAAGGGCCAAAAACCCTTACCAAACTAAGTTTAAACGAATAACTGAAAATGTCCAGAGGACCAACCACTCTTAAAATTAATCTCCTTTATTTAAAAAGGGAATGAAACGCAAAAGGGGAAAATCCCACCCTTAAATTAACCAAGGTTTGTCTAACAGACAAAACCAAATGCTGAATTAACTTAGGTTACCCAAACAACAAAAATAGCTCAGGAAACTGAGACTTCAAAAGGGGAATAATCCCCACCTGGTAATTTAAACCACAAGATGGTCTAGCAGACACACCAAAACCAAAATTACCACTTAAATGCAACTATCCCAAAACACAAAAGGTTCTAAAGCTGCTTCTTTACAAAAAGCCAACAACAACCTGTTAACTGCCAACGGGGAGAGAACAAACGTTGCCTCTGCAACTCCAAACATTTCTCTCCCCTGATGAGCTCCAGCTGGCCGCTTTTGAAGGGCCGGCTGATGAGATTGGGGCTGTGTCTCAATTCAGGGTCTGCATCCTTCGAAGGACCCAGCCCACCCGGCCGACGTGGGCTGCGTCCTCCGTCGGCCGGGTAGACCGGATGTTAACGGCTGTGAATTTGGACAGGCCTAGCCTTCATGAATTCCCGCCTCTCCCTCGGCGAACGTTCCGTCGCCTAGCAACCGTGGAACCGCGCTGAGCAGAAGGGAGAAGGAAAATGGTAGCGCTTGAAGCATTATTGAGCTTTTTAATAATTTCCTTGCTTCTGGAGGAGTTACAAGAGATGTATCGACGGCGAAGGCATTTTATATTGCTCAGGCTGAGAAGCAACAATGAACAGGTATTGTATTTTCTAAGTAGCCTTTACCTATCGGCTATAGCTAGCTTACTGGATAGTTTTAGCTACTTCTTACAGGTTGCAAACATACTCCGTATTAAAATCGAACCTTATACTCAAATACAACTTCAAATCTTTTATACTTACTCAACTACAAAAGCTCCCCACCAAAAAAGTTACTCAAGTAAGAAGAAAAACAATGTGAAAATGGCTTACATAACAAATAAATCATTCTAAAATATGGATGTCATTAAATAACAAATAACTGTAAGCAGAAAGAGTACATTACACTACCTGTAGAAGGACATCTAGTGAACGAAAATAAAAACTTTTTATATTACTTACAAAACTTAATAATGGACAGCACTTTCAAAACATAATTGATCTTTTGGTCTTCATTGCATACATTGTTCAAAAGTTAATTTTTTAGAATTGTGAAAGAATACCATGAATATGTACAATATTATCACATTTACAATTACAGCTTTGAAATAAAACTTTATTTGTTCTGTATTTCTCTTTAACCAGACTAGACCCAGATACTGCAGGATTAACCTGAGTGTCCCAGTCCTGGACCGTTTCTTCAACCAGCAAGATCCGAGACCCGACTTTCGTCTGAGCAGGGAGTCCCTTTCAGTGCTGCTGAATCTGCTGAACCAAGATCGGCGTCATGGTTGGGGTGCCACAATTGAGACCCTGGTGTTTCTTTTCTGGTTGTCAAGTGGAGCATCTTACAGGGTGGTCTCCAGTGCGTTCGGGATACCTCGTTCGACTGTCCACCGCATCGTCCACAGAGTCACGGAGGAGGTTGTGGCCATTCGCCACCAGGTCATCCACCTTCCAAAGACCCCTGAAGACCTGGAGGTGGTGTCCCAGGGGTTTGCAGGGCTGGCACGGCACAGAGCTTTTGTTAAAGCTGCAGGTGCCATCGACGGCTGCCACATCAGGATCAAGCCTCCAAGCGGCCCTGATGGTCACTGCTACAGGAACAGGAAACTGTTCCCCTCTATCATCCTGCAGGCTGTGTGTGACCATCAGGGCCGCTTCATTGACACCTACGTGGGCTGGCCGGGGTCGGTGCACGACTCCAGGGTGTTCCGCCACAGCCCCCTGTACAGGCAGTCAGTCTACCCTCCTCCAGGGCACTTCATCCTCGCAGATGGTGGGTACCCATGCCTGCAAAGCCCACTCCCACTCATCACTCCCTACAAACGTGGGAATCTAGGTGTGGCTGCCCAGCGCTTTAACAGCCATCATTCCAAGGCACGCTCTGTGATAGAGCGTGCTTTTGGAATGATGAAAACCAGGTTCAGAGCCATCTTCCTGCAAGCGCTGGAGGTCCACCACACCTTTGTGCCTCACGTAAGTGTACTAAATATTGATTTTAACATTTCTTTGAAATAAATTTAAATTAATTATTTTATGTATTACAGGTTGTTACCGCTTGTGCCATACTCCACAACATCTGCCTCAGTGCTGGAGACTTTGTGGCGGCGGAGGATGAGCCTGAGGAGGATGGTGGAGATGATGAGGGGGAGGCTGGCTTGGAGGATGTCAGCGGTGCACGCTGGCGGGACCAGCTGTGCTGTGAGGTGTCTGCCCTGGAGGAGGTTCCACTGGACCATGACTACTGTTAACAGGTAACAAATGAATGCATTTTTTTTAAATAGCCTAACATTTCACCAATAGTATGTAGATTTTGTATTTATTATCTCCTATTTGTCTATTTATGTTTCAGTCTTGGTCATGTAGCAGCCGTCGACAGCCAGCCCTGCAAACCGATGGACAATGCAGTGGACAGTCAAGATGAATCTTGAAGCCCTCTGCAGACCACCCAGTAGGATGCTTCACTTGTCAACCTGAAAAGAGCAGCCACGGGTCTCAGCTCCAGCACTCCATCCATGAGTCATCTGTTCAGCAGATCCAGCATCCCTGTTAGAGACTTCCTGCTTAAGTTTTTGAAACGGTCTTGGAACAGGACACTCAGGTTAATCCTGCACCTTATATTAGATTTTTCTATTTTGTATGTTTCCCTTAAATATTTTGTGTATATATGTTCAAACATGTTGGATCTACGTTTTTGTAAATAAAACTATTAAGTTTGATCCATTTCTGCATTATTTTCTATATTACATTATTTGTTTATTACATTTAACAATACATGTTAAGGAAAATAATCTTCAAGTTCATTTTAATACTTTCTCAAGACATTCTCAATATTTTAATATTGTTTTTATAAGCAATTCAAATGCACCCACAATAGGCTGTTTTATGTTTGTTTTTTTTAATTAAAATGATCAAAATAACGCACTAAAAAATGTTTTTGGGACTGTTGGAGAGCTAATTCAGAGAAAATAGTTTGTAAAGCTGAGCCTGAGCAAAGACGTGATAACAGAGTTTAATACTTTCTAAGGGTCTTAATTTGACCCAAACCGATTGATCACCTTTTAAGACTTTTCAAGGCCCAGTGGATACCCTGTAATATTAAACAATTCACATTTGTAAACAAAAATAAACTTCAAGAGTTTAAGAACTGATTTTATTTAGATTATAACATTTGTTAGATACGGCTAATCTTTACTTATCATTTTTTCAAGCAGACTAAAAAGCTTCCCAAAAGTTTCCCTTCTCTCCTGTGCCCTCTGCTGCTCTGCCTCCCTCTGCAGCCTCATATCTTCTCTGATGAGCTCCAGAAGCTGGTCATCGCTGTCCCTTCTCCTTTTTCTTGCACCCTGCTGACTTCCTCCTGGCTGACCATCTTCATCCTCACTCTCCTCCCTTTCCTCCACTGCTGTACTTGGCCCTGGAGTGTCCTCACGGATAGAGGCAATTAGGACAGGCGGACTGATAGAGGGTCTCTGTCCTAATAACTCATCCATGAGGTCAAACCAGGGCCAAGTAGCAGCAGTGGGCTTCCCACTAACCCCCTCTCCTGACCCTGGATACTTGCAATCCTAGGTAAAAAAATAAAATTATGTCATTTTACACAAATACCAACAAACCTGTTTAAACTTTTTAGATTTAGCATGTATTCATGTTATATTTTTCCACACACATCTACATACTTTATATTTTTTCTTTAAATTATCCCATTTTTTTTTGGCCTGGATGGGGGTCACCTTCCCCTGGATGGACATTTTCTCCAGAATACTCCTAACATGTAAGAAAAAGAAACAGGAAGAGAAAAGATAGAGAAAAGGAGGACAACGGATTATTCCTTTCATGTTTTGGCAGAAAAAAATGAACTCAAACGAATTTTTAAATAAAATATGACATACCTCCATGCCACAGACGCCGAATGCTTTGCTCCGGTGAACATGTGGTCCATCTCCGCTCTAAGCTGTATGAATTCTTGTGTTTTGTCTTTAGTCCCTAAAATATTAAAATCATGGTGAAAACGTAGCGGGAGAAGTGCGACACCGAGCGGCCGAACATACGAGCCAAGACCGCAATACAAGCACTTCTACGGTAACATTTCTAACGAAAAATGTTCGTGTATAAAAAAAAAGCCCTTACCCTAACAGTTTTCAAGTTTATACTTACATTTATACGTGCTATCTTCTCCAACAGCTCCCGCTTCACTGTCCGCCATTGTTGTAAAAGTTTTCTGCCGGCCGGCCCGCAAGGCATCTTGGGAAATGCTACCTATTGAAGGATACACCCGACCCATCCTTCATTCAGGCGAAAAGAAGGCCGCATTCGTCGACCGCATTTGAAGGAGTCTTCGAATTGGGACAGGCCTAGTCGCGGCGCTGTGACGTAACCGGCCGACGAATCCGGCCGAGGTAGGATGCAGACCCTGAATTGAGACACAGCCAAAAAGTCCCAGCTGCTTGTGCCTGCCGCTCCGGCGCTCTCCATGGTGCTGGAGTAAGGACAACATCTCAGAGCGTAGCTGTCCGTGGTGCTGCGCTGCTGCACAGGGAACGGCGCGGAGCACACCTCTGGGCTTCAAAACGGCAGCGGCCGTAACAATAGTTAAATGTTTTCCTGGGGCCAGAGCGGGCGACATTAAATCTTATCTGAAACTGCTGGCTAAGGATAAGCGTAAATACAGTAAGATTGTTATTCACGCTGGCAGGAACGACACCCGGTTACGCCAATCGGAGGTCACTAAAATTAATGTTGCTTCGGTGTGTACGTTTGCCAAAACAATGTCGGACTCCATAATTTTCTCTGGCCCCCTGCCTGATCGGACCAGTGACGACATGTTTAGCCGCATGCTGTCCTTCAACCGCTGGTTGTCTAGGTGGTGTCCTGAAAACAACGTGGGCTACATTGATAATTGGAAAACTTTTTGGGGAAAACCTGGTCTGATGCGGAGAGACGGCATCCATCCCTCTTTGGATGGTGCAGCTCTTCTTTCTAGGAATATGGCCAGTTTTATTAGTCCTCCATGACTACCCAGGGTCCAAACCAGGAAGCAGAGTCGTAGTTTAACCCACCCCTCTGCAGCTTCTGTACTGTTACCCACCCACTACCCCATAGAGACAGTGTCCTGCCCACGGCCAAAATCACACAGATTGAATATCAGGCTTAATAAAGCAAATCATGGAAATCTCATAAACATTAGAACAAATTCAACTGAGCAGAAAACTAGAAAAATTAAATGTGGGTTGTTGAACATTAGATCCATTTTTTCTAATACTTTGTTAGTTAATGAGTTGATTTGTGATAATCAGATCTCTTTGCTCTCTCTCACAGAATCCTGGCTGCAGCAAGAGGACTATGTTAGCTTAAACGAGTCGACTCCTTCAAATTATTTAAATCATCACATTGCTCGAAGTACAGGGCGAGGAGGAGGAGTGGCAACCATTTTTCATTCGGACTTATTAATCAGTCCCTTACAGATTAATAGCTACAGTTCGTTTGAACATCTTATTCTTAGTTTTCCTAATCCAGATTGCAAAACTGTAAAACCACTCATGTTTGTAGTTTTATATCGTCCACCAGGCCCTTACTCTGAGTTTTTGGATCAGATCTCTGATTTTTTATCTGATTTGGTGCTAAATACTGATAAGGTCATTGTAGTGGGGGATTTCAACATTCATGTGGACATCGAAAATGATTGCCTCAATGTAGCCTTTAGCAATATCTTAGACTCAATTGGTTTTACTCAAAGAATACATAGCTCCACCCACTCCTGCCATCATACATTGGATCTTGTTCTGACTTATGGCATTGAGTGTGAGGAAATAACAATCTTTCCACATAATCCAGTCCTCTCGGACCACGTTCTGATAACCTTTGAGTTTTTTATAACTGAGTTCTCGAGACATGAAAGTAAATTTCATTATAGTCGGTCTCTATCTGACAACGCTGTTGCGTCTTTTAAATCAACTGTTCCATCTTTACTGTCCTCAGCATCTCAGAGGCATGTAGCAGAGGGCAATATTTTCAGTTCTAGCCCCTCACAAATTGATGCCTTAGTTCATCATGTGAATTCCTCTTTACGTGTGGCATTAGATGATGTTGCCCCTTTAAAAAAGAAGGTAATTAGGGACAGGAATTTGGCTCCCTGGTTTAACTCTCATCTACGAGCCTTAAAACAAAACTCTAGGAAATTGGAGAGAACATGGCGCTCTACGCACCATGAGGAGGCCTACCTATCCTGGAAAAATAGTCTTGTGCTTTATAAAAATAAGCTTCAACAAACTAGAACTGCTTATTTTTCAGCATTAATTGAGGAGAATAAGCATAATACTAAATTTCTTTTCAGTACAGTTGCTAAACTTACACAGAATCGTAGATCTGAGCCATCTATTCCCTTAGCCCTCAGCAGCAATGACTTCATGGGATTTTTTACAAGTAAAATTAATTCTATTAGAAACAAAATCTTTAGCATCCTCCCTAATGTGATTTCTTCTTCCTCAGTAAGTGAGGCAGCTTCAGAGGTGACTCTAGAACCTCATCTGTGCTTGAACCGTTTTGATCCAGTTCAGCTTTCAGAGTTATCAAAAATATTAGCTTCATCTAAACCTTCAACTTGCATTTTGGATCCAATCCCAACCAAATTATTTAAAGATGCATTTCCTTTGGTTACTGCCCCCATTCTAGATATAATCAATCTATCCTTAGTAAATGGGTATGTACCACAAGATTTTAAGGTTGCTGTAATCAAACCTTCACTTAAGAAGCCTTCTCTGGATCCAGATGACCCATTGAATTACAGACCAATATCTAACCTTCCATTTTTATCCAAAGTCCTGGAGAAAATAGTGGCCATCCAAGTATGTCAGCATTTAAACACTAATGCTCTGTTTGAGGAATTTCAGTCTGGTTTTAGAGAGTATCAGAGCACTGAAACTGCATTAGTGAGAGTTACAAATGATATTCTTATAGCCTCAGATAAGAATCTTGTGTCTGTTCTAGTCTTGTTAGATCTCAGTGCTGCCTTTGACACAGTTGATCACAATGTTCTTGTAGAAAGACTTGAACATGTTGTAGGGATCAAAGGAACAGCGTTAGGCTGGTTTAAATCCTACCTGTCTGACAGATTTCATTTTGTAAATGTACATGATAAATCTTCTTCATACTCCAGGGTTACTTGCGGAGTACCACAGGGTTCAGTGCTTGGGCCAATTCTTTTTACTATATATATGCTCCCAATTGGTAAAATCATTAGACAGCATGGGATAAACTTCCACTGTTATGCTGACGATACTCAGTTATATTTATCCATTAACCCTGATGAACCTAATCGGTTGGGTAGATTACAGGCTTGTCTTGAGGACATAAAAAATTGGATGACTCTTAACTTCTTGCTTTTAAATCAAGACAAGACGGAAGTTCTCATCTTTGGACCAGAAATCCAGAAAAGGAAATTGCTTAGCCAATCGCCTGACCTTAATGGCATTACATTAATCTCCGAGAACAAAGCAAGGAACCTTGGTGTTATCTTTGACCAGGACATGTCATTCAAATCCCAGGTTTCACAAGTTTGTCGGATTTCCTTTTTCCACCTTCGGAATATTGCTAAGATTAGAAGCATACTTTCCAGGAGTGATGCTGAAAAACTAGTTCATGCATTTATTACATAAAGACTGGATTACTGTAATTCATTACTCTCAGGAAGTCCACAGAATGTAGTTAAAAGTCTTCAGCTTGTCCAAAATGCTGCAGCTAGAGTTCTGATGAGAATTAAAAAGAGAGATCATATCTCTCCTGTCTTAGCTTCCCTACATTGGCTACCTGTTAAATTCAGAATAGATTTTAAGATCCTTCTTCTCACATATAAAGCTCTTAATAATCAAGGTCCATCATACATCAGCAATCTGATTGTTCCATATGTTCCTAACCGAGCACTTCGCTCTCAGACTGCAGGTCTACTGGTGGTTCCAAGAATATCTAAACTTAGGATGGGAGGCAGATCTTTTAGTTATCAGGCTCCTCTTCTGTGGAACCAGCTCCCAGCTTTAGTCCGTGAGGCAGACACTTTGTCTACTTTTAAGAATAGGCTTAAAACATTTTTATTTGATAGGGCTTATAGTTAAAATCTGATGTTAGCCTAAATCTGGACAAGTTGGGGATTACAGGGAGGTGGAGTGTACAGTCGGTAAAGACGGCTCTCCCTTGCCCTGCCTCCAACATGCCTACATCTAAATAGGATAGGTTATCCAGAGTTAACTCTGTAGTTATGCTGCTATAGGCTTAGACTGCTGGAGGACACACTGACCACTTTTCACACTCTACTGCTTTCTTCTACAGTCTGCTCTTTAACTGTACTATTTTGTGCAATTTCAGCTGTTAACTTTATTTTCTCTGTAAGTGTTTTTCTCCCCAGAAGAAGCTACAATGACATTCTGCTCAGCTGTGGTGGCCTCATGGAGGGGGCCATCGACTAGCACACTGCTGCAAACCACTAATACATTCTTTCTCTCCTGATAATAACTTTTTGTTTTCATTGACTTTTGATGTGCTAATACTAGTTTATCCATTTAATTATCCACTAGGATAAATACAATAAAGTTTATCTTTCACCAAATACAATATTTACTAAGACATCACAATATAACTATAGACACATTACTTGTCTTTGTGTGTGTGTGTGTGTGTGTGTGTGTGTGTGTGTTTGTGTGTGTGTGTGTGTGTGTGTGTGTGTGTGTGTGTGTGTGTGTGTGTGTGTGTGTGTGTGTGTGTGTGTGTGTGTGTGTGTGTGTCTCTGCCTGCTCTGTCTTCTCGATCCCCAGTGAGCCGTGGAGGATGGCTGCTTATACTGAGCCAGGATTCTCTGGAGGTTTCTTCCTGTTAAAAGGGAGTTTTCCTCTCCACTGTCGCTGCATGCTTGCTTAGTATGAGGATTGCTGTATAGTCACTGACACTAGTCAGTGACTTGATGCAATTTGCTGGGTTCCTTATATAGGAAACATTATTTCTGATTGGCTTAATGAACTGTAAATTGGAATGTTTATTATGTGAAGTGCCTTGAGACGACTCTTGTCGTGATTTGGCGCTATATAAATAAACTTGAATTGAATTGAATTGAATAAATTAACCCTAATACTTATAAAACACACATTTAGTTATTTTGTGTACCTACATGTTAGCCAATGGCAACATTTTATTTGTCATTATTAAGATGCAATTATAAGCCAATATAAAGGCAAAAACACTTTTGCCATGAGCAGCTCCACTATCAGAGGGTAGAAGACCTGTCTTATATTTTGTTACAGCAGACTGTCAGGCCATAGCCATTCTCTATACCTGAGCCAAGACTAGGAGTGGTTTGAGGATAATTTTCAACAATGTTCTCCTAAAGGTTACTAAATTCCTGCAGGACTTGACCCTTGTAATCACTATAAGTGCTACATTT